CCCCCCCCCCCCCCCCCCAACTCGCGCGCTCTCTCTCTCCCTCTCTCTCTTGCTACCTACATATTCCTTTTGTTCAAGGTATAAAGAGAAACTGCAGCCCCTACCTTTGAGTACAAACCCCAAGAGAGCTCGGTCTCTATCACCATAACAACAATTCCAAACATCCCAAAAATCAGAGCATAGTCACTCAGTCGCTTCCTCTTTTCAAACAGGGCCCTCCTGTGTCCCAGCTTATAGCCAATGTTTTGGTTTTTCCGCTTGTTGGCTTTGGGGAAGGTGGTGCTGCTGGCGGTGGCGCCGGCGTGCTGGTGGTTGTGGGCAGCATTGGGGTGATGGAGCAGGGTCTGGTGGGCATGGTTGTCCTCCCGGGAGGAGATGACGATCTCCGGGGGGTTGCTGGGGCTGAAGAGCTGGAGGGGCTGGCCCTCGGGCTCAGCCTCGATGAGGTTCCTCCGGGAGGCGCTGAGCCGGCTGAGGGGCTTCATGACCCCACCGCTGTACTTGCAGGAGCTCATGGCTATCTCTGTGAAGGGGTTGCTGTCCCGCCGGTGCACCAGGGGGCTGGCCTGCCGGTGCCGGCCTCCTCCACCAGGCCCACTTGTGGCTGTGGAAGTTGGAGAGTGGCCAAGCAAGTGGTCATTGAGATTGAGCTGGCTGCCTTGCCTGGAGGAAGGGTGGAGGATGGCGGTGGAGTTGGATGAAGGGGGGCCCCTGAAAGCAGTGGGAGAGGAGTGTAGCAGGCCGGGGTGGATGGGCTGGCTCTGGAGTTGGGCGAGCTGAGACAGGGGATGCGGCTGCTGCTGCTGCTGCTGCTGCTGCTGCTGCTGAAGCTGCGGAGGCTGAGGCTGCAACGGGGGTCCTGGGGGCTGCTGGGGGGCTGCTGGGGGTGCTGGTGCTGGTGGCGGCGGCGGCTGCTGCTGCTGCTGCTCATCCCCGGAGGATGGACAGGGGCACTTGGGGTCTTCATCCAGGTCCCCCACCCCGGAGTCATGGAAGTGCCCAGAAGTGTCCATCTTGGGGCCTGGCTGGATTCCCTGCAGCACAACTCCCCACCCCAAAGCCACCCTCGTTCCAAAGATGTCCTCAAAGGAAGCCAGGCATCCAAGCTCCCCCACCAGAGTGTCTTGGCTCCAGTCCTCTCTCTTTGGCTTGCTCCGGTTCTCTGGGGCTGCCTGGAGTCCAGACGCTGCCACTCAAGAATGCATTGTACTGGGCAGGGAGGGAGGGCAGGAGGGGAGCTTGGAGAAAGAAGAAGAAGGGGGAAAAAGAACTCTGTCTCAGGAGGTGGTCCTCTAGGAGCGTGTGAGGCCAGGTTCAGCTTCACTCCTCGCTGGCTCAGTAGCTTTGCTCTCCTCCTCCTGCCACTGTTATAGGGTAAGCCAAGCCCACTTATTAGCAGCTGGTCTCATTGGCTTGTCTTAACTCTCCAACCACCTCCTAACTCCGCCCCCCGCATAGGCTCCACCCCGAAGGAGGGGCCTGCTGCGCTCCGCTCCCAGCCCCAGTGGCAGCGCAGCGAAGGCTGGGAAATGTAGTTTCCGCTCCCCACCCGGGAGCTGAGCAGCTGCCCTCTTTCCTCTGACAGGTATGGCAGAAAGCCGCCAGCGCACAGCGATACGGGATGTACGCGCACGCAGGGCGGTGGCGAGGAGGAGCAGCGGTCCTCCTAAGGAGGGGAGCTGTGCACCCTGATGCGGGGGCAAGAAGCAGGAAGACAGTTATTAATGGTCAGGGTTTGCGATAGGTTGTTTCACACATATTATCCAGCTACATCCTCCAAACACACAAGGATGGGCATCGTGTTCCCATTTCACAAATTGATGCTCAGAGATTACTGAGTAACAACTTCAAGGTCACAGAAGCAGAGGGAACCCACATCCTCCTGACCCCAGGTAAATACTGAACTGCCTGCAATATGTGTGCAGGAGCATCTGTTATTTCTAAGCCTCACATCAACCCTATGAAAATGATGTCATCCTTCTGCTTTTACAGATGAAACCCGTTTCTTAAAAAATCACTCAAGCACAGATAAGTAGCTTGCCAGATGTTACCCCGTTTGTAATTAAGGATGCTAGAATTCGAACTCAGCTCAGTCTGACCCCACAGCTCCTATACCATCTCCCAGGATGCCTTTCCACCGTGATGCTCAGTGCACACTGGTTGCTCCATAAATATTGCTCAAATGAGGGGTAGGAAAGAGCCAGAGAGAAGCTGTGGAGGAAGAACTCGCCTCCCCAAAGCAGGATGTGTGAAATGGACTATGGCTCCAGCTGGACTTGGAGTCATGGGAAGGTCTGGAAGGAAGACTGAAAACCCCCGTGGTCGCTCCCCACCTGATCTGTCCCATGGAGCTCTGAAAGTCAGAGCTGGGAACAGCTGCTGGCTTCCCAGGTTCAGAACCATCATCAAGTATTTATTAAGCTCCCACTGTGTGCAAAGGGAGTTCCAAAAAGATGGAACCCAGCTGAATTCATTTCCACTTCTAAGGGCAGCCGACTTAGGGATCAGTGAAGAAGGGGCCATTATGGGAATCCCCAAGCACACCTGGGGTTTTAGGAGGGCGGCATCTTACTGCCTGGCTCTTGCTTCCCCCATCACCCCTTGGCCTCTGTCCAGCTGCTTCTCTGGTAGGAAGGGGGAAGAGGAGGAGAGCCATGCATGCACACACACACACACACACACACAGATACACATATGCAGGTGCACCTACATACATAGGTGTGCACTCACTGGCCCACAAACACACACACACACACACACACACATGCCCACACACAGTGAGGTTCTAAAGCAGTTCTGAATGGTGAGCAGCAAGTGGCAAGCGGCAAGGTCAGGAAGGAGCAGGGCTCCCATCAAAAGAGCCCAGAGGGCTTCCCTGGTGGCGCAGTGCTTGAGAGTCCGCCTGCCGATGCAGGAGACGCGGG